AAAAATCCAACTTAAAATGTAAAACTTAACCACAACCATGGAGACATCAGGGGAAACAAGCAGGAGGAGTCAGGGAAAGACGAGGAGAGACGAGGAACCAGCACTGAGGAACTGCACAGGGAGAGTATTTAAGGTTGACTGAACAAAAAGAGGACTAACGAGCTGATTGGTAGCAGGTGTGAAGTGAGGCTTTGAGGGAAAGAGGAAAGGAAAAAGAAACCAACAAAAGAGGGCAACAGAGAGCAACAAATAAAAGACTCAGAACTTAAAACAGATCCAAAAACACAACAAAAATAGGAATTAAACCAATAAAACTAGAAAACAAAGAAAAACATGAATCAACATGGAACTGAAACCTCAAAGAAAACTTAAAAGAACCAAGACCATAAGACTAAAATAGAAATAAACAAAGTGTCTGATAAACATATTTATATATCTTTTTCTTAACACTAGTATATAGAGTTGTTTTTTAATTTCTATTAATAAGATAGCTCGTTAAAATTCAGATGGATATCTAGAACCTGCATTTTTTATTTATCTGCCTTCGAATCAATACAATTACAACTGAATGTGTTTTGGTTTATTACCTTTACTTTTCTAGTCTTCTTTCAAAGTTCGAACATATTCAGTCAAATTGGAAGAGTGTCTGAGAACAGACATCTAGTTACATATGTTATAGAGGACTGAATATTGACAAATTTTGACTAAAATATCTTAACTCTTTCGTGGTCAATGGAAACTCTTGACTATTAAAGAGGGCAAAGATCCATCGAGATCTAAAAAAAATTGCATTTTATTAACAACATTTTGGATTTTTTAAAGGGAACTTTTCATATATGAAAAGTTTTCATATATTTTACTGCTTAATCATATGTAAGGATTCATTATGCATACAATGGTTTACCTGGAGTTCTATTCTACCAGGCATTTATTGTCAATGCATTTCAAAGCAAAAAGATATATACGTTTTGCTCTTTAACAGTTTGGTCCCTGCCAGACATGGTGCATAGCTTATTTTAGTTTTAGACCAGGTTTTTGGATTGTGCAGAATTCAGGTTCTTTTTTTTTATCTCTGATGTAAAATGTAAGTTGCATATATGTGATAACACACCATGTGTCCTAAGTGTTGCAGATATACATACAAGTCCATTCCTCAAGAGCTACTATCCTGAACCTTTTTGATGCACCCCATTTTTAAAACACCTGAATTAAATGAGTGGCTTGTTACCGTTCCTCTGCTGAGCTAAATGAGGGAATTGAGCCTTTAGATTCAGGTGTGTTAGGGAAGTGATACATCTAAAAGTTACAGGATAGTAGCTCTTAAGGACTGGACTTGAGCACCCCTGAAATACAACAATATAGGCAAAACATTCTGTAAACAATCAAATGTTATTAAAATAAAATGTCAGACCTTTATTTGCTGAATTTAATGAAAACCTATTTCGTTTCCGCAAAAGTGGATCTCATTTTTTGCCTTCTATCCAGTGATGAGCCACTCCTCTGCCTGTACAAGGAGTAAACTTGAACTTCTCTCATCACTTTTGACCTAATGTGAACTGTAGATGATCTACATGCTGACAAACCAGTTTCGATGATGCCTCTTACTTCAGGACTTGTCCCTCTGCAGCTTTGCCTAGCTGTTTGCTCTAGATTATATAATCTGAGTGATCTTCATGTTGACCGTCTTGCCTGTTGACACTGCAACTTCATGTAATTTAATCAAGACACCATCAATGTGGCTTAGAACCTCTTTAACCAGTGCAGATAGTTAAAGATGAAAAAAAACAAAAACATTTCCTTAGAAAACATTTTTGTTGCCAGGGTGGGACATTTTCTAATGAAGTTTAGTCTGGCACATAGATGTTCATATTTTGACTGTGACTCAGTATAAAGGGAGTGTCCCTTGGCACATTTAACACATTCTCTAATTAATTGCTCATCTTATGGATGAACCAGTTTGTGAGGTGTTACCTGAGTAGGGAGACATCCTGACCGCAGACATTCAAAATGCTTTTGTGTTTGTTCTTTTACTTATTTCAACTTTACAGACCAAGAAAAAATTGCATAAGATGGGAAAAATCAATTAGTAATTTGTGCAGAATGTAGATTTTTATCAAAAAGAGTATGTGCTCGTTTTGTATGGAGTGAAACAAGCAAAAAAGTAATTTTAACAAGCCAAAGCACAACCAAATAGCCGAGATAGAAAGAATTAAGCCCAGCAGCTATAACCAAAATCTATAAAAAAAATATCAAAGTAAAAAAAAAAAAATAAAAATCAGGATTTTTTTAATCATGAAAATTTTAATTGGAGTTTATTTAGGTTTTGCATCCCCAATAGAATTCAACAAATTTAAAAATGCGAAATATATGAAAACTTTGCAGTGCGAATGGGTACTCCATAGAAAATGCCAAATATTGAAGGACATTAATGTTTTTTTAAAGGTATTTACTGGACAAGAAAATCCAAATAATGAAGCAAATCATACAGTATTTTATTTTTTAAAGAACAATCAAGGAAATAAAAATGTTTAGCCTTCTAAAATGTACCATTATAGAAGTTAAAAATCAACAACTTAGTGCACTTTAAACCATGATTATCTTGATTTCAAACTCTGTTTCATTTTAGTTACAAAACACACAAAAGAAATGCAGCATCTGGTGATGAATGGCTTTATATCCCCGTTACATTGATGCATTTACACATTGTTTTAAAGTGATTGATTAAACACACCAAAACCCACAATTTACAGCAAATTGCACAGCATTGAAAGGGTTAACAGAGCACACCAACAGAGCAGAGCAAAAAAACACTTTTTTTTATTTTGTTTGCGCTAATTAACGGGACTCACCGAAAACAATGCTGATCTGGAATAGATTAGCTTCCCTGAAAGTTTAAGGTGTAAAGTTTTGTTCCTGATTATCTCTTTTCCACATCCAGTACATAAAACTCAGTTATTGCACAAAAGCTACAGTTCAATTAGTATAATTTCTTAGGAATAATACCATTAAACAAAGATAGACTCAGAGGAGTCATGAGATTTGATCTCAAAAGAATTACAGGTGTATCCTGTAAACTGTGTTAATTCAACTACTTTTTTGTCACAAAAGCTTTTTTCATTAGAATTACGATTGTGACAGTGCCACAAAAAGAAAAACATAGTTTTTATATCTGCACACAATCCAGCACCCGTGTACAGCTGAGATCAGATCCCAGCATGCAACGTACAAAAACACTTTTCTTTCCTCGTGTCTGACATTAAATTGGATAAAATCTTTCCTCTAAGGTCAATAAGATTGAATAAATGCCAGAATAGTTAGAGGAAACTAATACTTTACGTTTGTATAACTTAATGAACATTTTCTTAATATTTAGCTAACAACAACCTGATCCTCCTCCCTTTTCCTCCAAATCTAATGCTCACTTTTTGACCAATTCAGACTTCTTTAAGGTCAGACAATAAAAAATGATGTTTTAAACACCCTGCATGTAAATACCTGATTTAAATTCTATTCTTATTTAAAATCAGGTATTTTCTTATATTCATTTTGTTCTCCCTGAGAAACTGAACACTTTAAATGACATTTTGAATACTTCAACAGTATAACGTTGTTTTTAAGGCTACAAACCAATCGGCAAAAACATTATGACTCGTATACTGGCCTTAATCTGGATGTTACTTTGATCCTCGCTGCCTTCCTTAGCATTTCTGAGAGATATACAGTAGCAGCAGCTGTGGGAAGAAGGCAAACTAAAACATTTTATTGGTCATAATGTTATGCCTTATCAGTGTTCATATTTTATTAGTTCCTATTATTCATTAATTGACACTGTTTTATTATTAAATGCAAATAAAACTTGATGGGATTTGAAAGAACCATATATACTGTTTTAAACCAGTAAAATAAAACAAAGTGCCTCCTTTTGTCTGATTTTTACCAGAATTTTAAGATATAAAAAAATTGTATCAGTAAGTTGATTTCCTGACCAATTATAGTGATTTATTGAGTTAGTTAGTTATACATAGATCATGAAAAAAACAAAAAAAAACTCATAGGTAGACCCTTTCTGCAGCACTGGTCATATCCAAAAGGTTTTGGCACCCTGGTAAAGATCAGAGATGCACCGATCCAGTTTTTCCGATCCAATCCAATACCGATAACTGGACTGAGCTTATTTGCTCATATCTGACACTGATCTAATTCATCTGCTGAATGCATGGCCCATATGTCCGTACATGAGAGTGAAGGTTTTAACCTCATTAAGAGAAATTACAGTTTTGAAAAAAAAATCCCTGCTGCTACAAAAACAACCAAATATATATAGATAGATTTTTTGTTCGTTTTAATTATTGCTATCATCTTTTCTTTGCACTTGCAACACTGTTGGTGTTGATAAGATGGAAAGCAGGCGGACAGGAAACAGCATTTTTATCCAGTTTTTCACTCTGACACATCTGGAGGGTTGTTTCTTATCTTCACGTGACGAAACCCTGCAGTTCCAGTTAAAGGTCCAATAGCGTCAGCGAATGCTCATATATCTACCTTTTAAGTTGGTGGGACTGAAAGATATTTTTTTGGTAAGCCTTCTACTGCATACGGGAGATCCGTACCTAGATAGCATCTAAGGCCTTGATTTAGAGATTTTTCATGTCATGGCTGAGGCAAGGAAGAAGTTTAAAATTTCTGAGGAGGCTAAAAATAGAAAACGTGAAAGGGATCGTGCATGAGGAAAAACAAGATTCAATCTTGGAAAGGAGTTTGTTCGTTGGCGCAGGCAGAAAAAAGAAGCCGGATGTAAAACCGATTTTTTTTTTCCCTCAACTTTATTATTAGACTGGTAATTTAACAATTTGCTCCTAATATACAGTTTTACATCTTTATTATTTTCAATGTTTAGTAGAAGCAAAATATGGGCAGTTAGAGGTTTAGCGCCCCTCGTGGCCAAAAGTTGCACCCGTGCCTTTAAATAATTCTGGAAAGTCCTACGTCTACATTTTTATTTAAGGTTATGTTAAATTACTGTTCGTAGTTTTTCTTGTGCATTAATTATTGTATTATTTAACTTTAAAAGCAGTTATAAAGTTCATTAAGGTAATAACGGTGCATTCCTCTCCAGAAATGATTAAAATTTTTAATAAGAGTTGAAAAATAAGGATAGCTGGACTCCAACTTCCCTGGTATAACAGGAGAAAACCATGTTTAGTAAACACATTAGGTATAATATTAGGTATTTAAACATTTACACATAGGAGTGAGTTTAGATGAGAACCCGCACCTTTAAAGGGTATCGATACATGGCATGTTTGTTCGTCTTTTAAGGACCCACAGCAAACAGGAAATTACTAATAAAAAGCTCATAAAAGCTTAGATCAATTTAAAAATACTCAGTATCATCAAAGAAAAATGTTTCACTTATTTCATAAGAATCAATCCTGGACTGAATGTTTGGTTTTTGTATCAAACTTTTTAGTATAATTAATTTTTTGAAGGAATTGTGAGGAAGAAAGGGTAGAGCAGAGAAGGAATGGATGGATTCACTGCTTCTGTTGTTTTCTACACCAGTGTAAAAGACTGGTGTAACCCTATTTCAGGTGTCGGGTAGAGCGCCTCATTATCAGCAACCTGCCTGGTGCCGAATGTCCCTGCCTGATATAATACCTGTGGTCTTTTGTTCCTCACCTCTAACATGTGTATCCTTTCACAGGTCTGCAATAAGGCATTCAACTTTAAAAAAAAAAACAAATAACATCTGTCATAAATGAGACTTTCCAGTTAAAAATACCTTTGAGATCTGTACGTAAGGGATGTTTTATTGAACAATGTGATTTAAATTCTATCTACCTGACCTGCCTTTGGTTGATCATTTTAAAGTTAATTTCAGAAGCATGAGCAAATGCTGAGAAGTGCATGCTTTTCTTATTGGTTATCATATCATATCATGCAACTTCCTTGGGGGTTTTCTACACAGCATTACTTAATTCTTGATTAGCTGAAAATTGCCCTTCATATGAGGGTAAGTTTGTTTATCATGATAATTTGCCTATTCGGGGTTTCTTTACTTTCAACTCATCTCTCTCTCACAATTTTTTCCAGACAATCGACTATGTCATTCCCGGTGACCCATGGAACTACGTTTGCCTTCGGCTTGGCAGACTGGGATTGCTGCATCTCCAGCAGCAACCTGTGCATGGGGTAATCCCGCCTGGCAAAGGCAGTGTCCTGGGGTCCCAGGGCGTGAGTGGGGCAGACGTCGTTGGACCCATCGCCAACATAAAACACCCTCTGGAAACCCACCCCGCCTCGCTCCTTTTCCCGATCCGCCAAGTATTCACGTAAGATTGCCTGCTTGCACATGTTTTCGGGGCAACGTGTGCAGGAGTGTGAGTGGAAAGGGCGGAGCACAAGGCAGCCGGCGGTGTCAAAGTGGGAGGGGTTTGTGAAGATTCTCTTGAAAAGGTGGCGGAATCCGGCGTGCTCCAGCCACGTCTCTATAAAATACATGTTGGCGTCAGAGACCACCACCAGCTCAAAGTCCTGCTGATGGCTCTGCAGAAACCTGAAGAGGTCCAGAAGGCCGGGGTTGGGTGGGATGTTCTCTACACCAGACTTGATGCACTCCTTGGTCACGCCTTGATCTGCCAGGTAAGCCATGATCTTTGCTGAGTACTCGTGGTAGTGTCCCTCTCGGTAGCTGTTTACGAGCCAGGCAGGAAGCTCCTGGCTTGGCAGCAGGCACACTGCTGAATCATCGCTGTTGTCGCGTATGATGGTCTCATCGAAGTCGAACAACATCAAGAAGCGCGGCTCTTGTGGCGCTGTGTGGTTTGGCAGAGAGGCCATCTTTGGTGGTCCTTTTCTGCAAAACAAAACATTTCTCTTAATGGTTTTTACACCGATCATGTTCAGAATGTTTCTTTTTTTCTTTTCCAAACAGGGTTTGCAAGCAAAGAACCAGAGATACCATCTGCTTAAATACCACCGTAAGCCCAGGAGAAAAACAAAATACCTAAACACCTAATTAGACCTCAGACTAGTGTTTCTATGGGGTAAGAATCAAAAAAAGAAGACATAAACAGGATATCCACAATAATAAGCTGAAGGAAATAGTCAGTAAGTAGCTCAAATGTACTGCATTAAGTATAAAATACTACAGCAGGCTCTGATCTACATCTTCTTTTATTCAGAAACTCCTGCTTTCCTTTCAGGATCTCTGCCCAGACTTGCTGGTTGTCGTAAGATGTCCCCTCCTATATTTACAGAGCAAACACCTCCAATTATGAGGAGTGCTGCACAGTTCATTACTGTGTTCTGAAGAAATGCAGTCAGATTACTTCTGCTTTCACTCTTTAGTCACCCTGAACTGTTTTAGATGACATAGATTTTAATTTTAAGCAGATATTTCTACGAAAAAAAGTGTTCCCTCTTTACGTAATAATGGAGGAAACAACTGCTGTCAATATGCAACAGCTAGAAAGATAATATTTAATATCTCTGTGGGGAAACGTTGGCTTAATCATAATTGGAACGTTCTTAAGCATGACCAACCTAATATAATACAGCCTCTCCATGCGATTTAGGTCCATACTTTGACTAGGACATTCAATTTTTTTAAAAGAGATATTTAAAGATAGATCCAGTCATTAGTTTTTTTTTATTGTCTTGCAGCCTCACCAAAGTGCCCTTGAGCCTTGCTCAACAACTAATCACGCTATACGAACTCTCGCCCAATTTGAATCAAAGTCTATTGATCTTTTAGAACATAAATCTAAAGAAAAACATTTTTTACCCATAGGCGGCCATCCTAAACAGCCAGATTGGGAAACATCCCTACCTGGCAACAATGCACGTAAGACGGGAAACGTTAGCCTTAAAATGCAAAACCCCATCATGCACCGCAACTATTTTTGCAAAATATTCAAACATAAATTCGCCAAATATAAGATGAACATCGTAGTTTGCTTTAAAGTAAGCATTTTAGTTTTATTATAACTTAGGTTGTTGCAAGGATTTTACAGTTGGAAGAAATAGAAAATTACACCATATGCCAACTGTCACAAGGATGTGCATGACAAGGAAGGGCTATATATACTGCACGCATCATTAAGGTAGTAAACATTGTATTACTTCTTGAGCTCTGTAGATTATTTACTGTCACAGGTAGGTGTTTTGGCTAGAGAGTAATTGTTGGTTATGATTTAAGGAGGGCCAGTCCTCGCACGCTGACATTAGGACCTACCCACAGGGAGAATGCCCGGTATCACAGTATCACCAGTCTGAGCCTGCTAGGCCCGATCCAGCTGGAAAGAGCTAATCAAGAAGGACATTTTAAAAGGGATGCTAAAGTTACCCTGTATCTCCTTGACAAGTAAGTGAACTTTACTCCCCAAATTAGCCCAAAGCTCCACTTTTTTGTACAGGTTTACATGGGTTTAGTAGCTATAAAAGCCACAGTGAATGCTGGCTTTTTGTCACAGTAAATGCACGCTTGTAGAAACTTCATGTCACTTCAGATGAGATGGTTACAACTGCACTGAAGAAGCTTTTTGACACATGGCGGCCAGCATTTCTTCAATCTGGATTTGAAGCAGTGACACAATCAGTTATAGCAGCGGTCCCCAACCTTTTTTGCACCACGGCCGCTATATGTCAGACAATGTTTTCACGGACCGGGGGGGATGGTTCCAGTCTGATGGTGTCCAGTCTGCTCCAGTCTGCTCCATAGCTTTGTTTTGGTCGCTGTAACCGCAGAAAATCCCGCTTCACAAAGATAGGATGAGTCTTGAACTGAATTAACCTGTGTAAAGAGGCACAGCTGCACCGACTGATGTAATTGGGAGAGAATACCGCAATTTTTTTATATTTTTAAAAATAAAAAATCACTCAGACTCTGATCGTTGAGAAATTATATATATATATTTTTTTCTGTGCGGCCCGGTACCAAATGACCGACGGACCGGTGGTTGGGGACCGCTGCGTTATGGTGTTTGTTTCAGTATAACTCCCACATTTCACCACTCGATGGCAGAATTTCTTACATAATATACCTTTAAGGAATTTTAATGGTTTATCATGTACAAGACATGCCAGCCTGAGACACGGTGAGTAAAATTGAACATTTGTTCAAGTGTATTTAATCACAAGTAACAGACACACTAACAATATTAGTAAGTTTTGCTGCACATAGGGGTAAGTTAGTTTTTAACTGAAAACCAATTTTTCTGTAAATACTCAAGCCTTTTTTTTTTCTGATGTTAACATTTTTGATTCAAAACATTAAAGTGCAGCCAAAGGCTAAAACAAAAAGAAATGTGTTTTAGGGGAAAATAAATCTTAATGGACAAAGGTGAAACTATTTCAGTTTTAGAAAAAAAAAAAATACATCCAGTTTCATTCTAATCTACAACAACTACTAAAAACTGTAACCTTGTCAAACACTGAATGAGGTCATCTTCATGTTAATCTACTTTATTGCACGTATCTGTCTGCTGGCCAAAACTCTTATCAGATATTGCGAAGCCTCTGCTTTGCATAAATTGGATCAAACGTCGATGAAGGCGGCTTTGTCAACATGTCTGTGAAGATAAGGTTATGGATGACTCCTCCTTGGGCGAGATGCCCTTATCATCTACCAAAGACTTTTGTAATACATAATCTGCAACGTCTCTGTAATATTAATGAATAACAAAAAAACTATTCTAACCCAACTTCTGCTACTTGATATATTTGCATGGCTTAAAAATTATAGTTTCTCTTTTACTTTCTTATGGCAATTTTAAAAAATCCATCAGAAACGTTCACCTTAAATTTGCTGCATGTATGGTTACATTGCTGAGTGTTTAAATTTGAAACGTGTAATGAAAATATACAGGAAAGAAGAAAAGAAAGTGACAAGAAAGGAAAAAAAGTGTTTAGTATGAATGGAGGGAGGACAGATAGAAAGATAAGGAAGAAGGACACAAGGGAAAAGGTAAGGAAGGAAACAAATGGAAAAATTATACAAGACAGAAAGAGGAAGCACTAAGAAACTAAGGCAGGAAGGGAAGGAGAATACAACAAAGACATGACCGACTGAAAAAAGAATATATGAGGTAAGACAGAAGAAAAAATAAGTTGGCATAAGAACCAGGAATAACACCTACAGCACTACAGGCCTCACTTTTCATTGATTGATTTTGAATAAAACTGCACTTTCATTCATGGTGGGAATCGGGAGCCAAGATCTGATTTGTTGATCACAAAGAAAACAAAGAGCCATCTCACCTTCTACAAAAAATATATCGATCACATACAGTTCATGTGGTGATAGTTGAATGTCTGGGGCTTAACTTGGTGAAAGTAAAGAAACCATGAATTCTGCTCTCTACCAGAGAATCCTGAAGATGAATGTTATTCAATAATTAGAAAACATATCTAAAGCACACCTGCAGGTTCACCCGAAAAGTTTTAAAATACAAAAAAAAAATCAAAATGGATGTTTAAGTCTGACCTAGTCAAATTCTAAATTTACACTGGATTAAGAATAAAAATATGAGGCCACAACTCCTACAATAGGACACACAGTAGCTACCATTCAAAATGGAGCCTTGGACCAGCCAAGGACCCGCCAAGGAAATATTGAATGGCTACTACTGTAAAATACTCACTAGTTGCTAATTTAAGATCTAACAGAAGCCAGGCTTAAGGCTAAATAAATCGTGGTATTTTGGTATCTTTTTAACATTTATTTTCCATTCATTCCATTTTCATTGTAAATTCCTCACAAACTGTATTAAAGTTTGAGGTTGAAATGAGAAAGAAATCTGAATGTCATGGTCTGGGAATACTTTGTCAAGGCACTATAACCCTGCAGATGACAAAATGCATTCATTTCAGGGCTGAAACTATTAATCAGATCGATTACTGAAATAATAGTTAACTAATTTAGTAATTGATTAATCAAAAACTGGCGTATAGAGACTCTAAAACATGCTTTTAGCTGTCAGAGCAGCCAACTTAGAGCAGTAATTATAGCAAAATTGTAAAAAAAAAAAAAAATTTGCATTTAAGATTTATTTATTTTTTCGTCTATCAATATGCTCTACTCAACTCCTCAAATGGAAAGGTTTTAGTTTCACCTGGTTTCATTTTAAAAAAAGTCTTCTTTAAGGAAAATAATCGAGAGATTTACCGATTTGCAAAATAATCAATAGTAGCAACCCTAATTCATTTAGTTAAAAAATGATACTAAATTATATGAAAATAATTTTACAGATTTAAAGTATCTATATAACACCCTTTTAATGGGTATTGTTAGTTTATTATTATTATTATAGTTTGAAAAATGACAATTTTGTTTAAAATACTTCAGGTATTATCTTTACTCTCATGCTTTTAATCAATCAGAGATCCATTTTGGACCCTGGAACAAAAGTTTCCCATCATGAAGGAGGCCAAATCCCTTTAGGACACTAATGTTACATCAGTGGATTGAATAACAGACCCAGATCTTCTCACTGTGGGGTCGATGTTCAGCCTTTTCCTTTAATTGCCCCCAAAACTTAAGTTTCACCTAAAATCAAACTATGATAAACTAATAGGTAAGACATTAAGTGATAAGAAACACGGACTTCAGACCATTGGAGAAATGAAACCTAGAATAATAAGGTTGATTAAATTGTTATCATATACTGTAAGGAAAGTGCGCTCAGAACAAAATGATCAAACCGAACAAAGTCAAGGATTCATGCAGCTCAGTGTAATTTATTCCCGATTACATAAATACATGCAATCTGGAATAAAAGGTGTTAATGTGCAGCTGCATTATAAACGGTCCCGGCACACTAAGCCTGCTAAATTTAAACCTTGAGCGCTATGCGCACTATGGCAAACTGAAAGTCAGCTGAAAAAATACGCTCAGTAAATTTATGAGTGACACGTTATTACCGTAGAAGCAGTTTCTCTAAAATAAATCTAAGGTATACCTACCGGCGTGGGGACGGTGGGTTAGCAGCCCGGCTCCCGCAACTGCATCCCGGTGACGCGGCGAGCGGACTCCAGCTCCACGGTGGAGGATTTTACTAAAGCCGCCGGTGGAAAGTAAACACGATGAGCGCCACTTCCGGGGGAGTTTTTCAAAGTAAAAGCAAAGTAAAAGCACAGTAAAAGCATGTTCTTATTGAAAGGTAGCTTCTTTTCTCGCATAATAACACATCTTATGATCATGAATTGAATAGTTGGATTAAGTCATTGAAGAGGGAATGTTTTTAAAACAGTGAAAACGCGCATCTTTATCTTTGCTAAATGGTTACTCTTTATTATTTTGTAGTAATGTGTAGTCAGTGCTGCTTCAGCCTGTAAAAGTTTATACATTTCAGATTCCTTCACAGGGTACATCATGTTCCGTTGCAGATATTATAGTCATATTTGGTAGTGTATGCCAAATACAGATTATGTGATTTCTATGGGTCAAAAGCATAAAGAAAAGATAAGAATTAAAATAATAATAATAATAATAATAAAAAAATCTTCAATCCCTAAAGTTTTCCAGTTATCTTCCTAATACAACATATTAAGACTTCTCCCATTTACAAAGCCCGGGTCCCCCGTCAGAAAAGGAAAACAAACAAGCAAAAACATATAAAAACATAGCTGCATATTTTTTGTGTATACTACTTTACTTTATATTTTATCTTAATTTGGCATCATTGTTGCATACTTAACATTTGTCATGCTGTTCTTTCTCTGCAAAATGTTGCACCACTATTCTTCTCCATTCTTTACCATTGCAATACATCTTTATTACTAATTTAGATTCCATGTATGTGTAAATAAAGCTTTTTCTGATTAAGCTCTAGGAAAACAAAGGTACAAAATTTTGATAGTGGCTGATTGTTTTGTTGGGTGGTGGTTTTGAAATAAGGTAGTTTTAAAACGAGAAAATGGAAATGCTTACTTATAAAAAAAAATCCTTTTAAATAAAAACTATTTGCAAACAACTTTTTTTTCTTTTGTGTGGGTGAGGTGCAGAGGTCTTCCTCAATCCAGCTGACGAAGAAGTGCACCCCAACATGGGACATTGAAACTAGAGATGATGATTGATGCCTGATCCTTCAGCCAGACGATATTACAATTTATTTCTTGCATTGGTGAATAGATTCACTTCTCCGCTGATTCATTAGTGCATTCAGCATTGAGATCACAGGAAGAAGCTCATTGCCACTCCTTCCATTTATTATTTTAATTCTTAATGATTTGCTTGATTTGTAAATAAATGTTTTTTATGGATTGACATTAATGTAACATTTGTTAACATTGTCTTATTTTTCACTATGCAAATGGAGAAAGAAAAATCAATATCAGCTTTAAAGACATATTGGGGGTCTGGTTTCAAAATAATCTGTATCAGTCAACCTATTACAGTAAGTTTCTAAAATTTAGCAAAACCTTGGTGCCATGAACCTACCCATGCCTGGATGATAATGAACTTTGGGCAAAAGAATCCCTTTACTTCTTAGAACACATTTAAATGGAAGGAATGGTAAACTTATTTTAATGGTTTGTATAGACTAGAAACAAACAAAAATTATTTTTTTTTGCCCTCTGTGCAAAAGAAAATATTTGCTTGTTACAATGAAATGTTTTTTTTTTATATATATAAATGTAAATATACTTTTTTAATTCCAAAAAGGTTTTAAAAAAAAAAAACAGGTAAAAAAAACCCAAACCACTGGACTTTTTCCCCCCCAAGTTTGAAGATGTTTTTATTCACATCCAGGAAGCTTTTTCATTTGAAAATGTCTGGATTAGCATTGAGTTCCAAGCATTACAGAGTAGTCCCAAAAACAATGGCTTCTTATGGCTTAGAAAAAATGCAAACTGAACCTGAACAATAGGTCCGCCCCTTTGTAATGGGGAGTTGTTGAGGTCTTTAAAAGAATTGTGGAGGACTTTCTCAAATTTTTTGAATCCCTCAATCCCTACATAGAGCAGGGTCTATATCGTGGACTTTATAGGGATCTCAGTTAACTTACCAATCGGATAGATGATCACTTCCCTGTTGGTCCACTGTGCGGTGCCTGCTCCATCTTTATTAGTCACAGCTGTCGGGTAGCGGCAGCCTATGGCGCCAACGGGCCGCTGTAACAGCAAATCCCATAATACTTTGCAAGGAGATCTCTCCACGCAAAGCATTCTGGGATATATCTGCCTCTACTGAGGCCTTTCTTTTTTTCTCATACACTTTGTAGACACTTTTTCTCTTACGACCCTTGGCCATTTTCAAAGTACTGTGGTGAAAAAGGTGAGCTTTAATGTGAAACTGTAGCTCACCACACATATATGCTTGAAAGTTTGCTTGAGTAAAAAAAGATAGCCAATGGAACAAGAACATAGGACGACCTTATGTAAACCTATCATCAGAATGATTGACAATTAAGGGACCACTTATTTAGATGATCCACCCAGACATAAAAGATCGTCCTCTATACTGTACCTTTAGGGGCTGTGTACATACGTTTTAAATTCTCCTTGAAACATTGGTTGAAAAATAACCAGACATGTGTTCACAGGTAAATTTATCTGTTTCCATGGGCCTGTAAACCTCATTTTGTTGTTAACCTAATTTTATTGTGATTTTATGTTATTGGCATCTTATCTGTGTTCACTCTGTTCTCTCCTGTAGTGTCTTGTTTAATGTTCACTGTTTTTACCTGCCTTAGGACAGCGGATGCAAATTAGCTGTTGTGCTAAATCTGGCATATTTACATTTATGCTTTATCCTGACATGTTGATGAATGTGCATTGTCCTAATTCAAATAAATAAATGAATAAAATAAATTAAAAAAGGCTTTACTTATGGGTCTTTCTAAGCCATAACAAGGCTTTGTTGGGCTTTTCTATAAAGTTTGGAGCTCAACGATTATCCAGACATCTTTAATTGAAAAAGCTTTCTGGATGGGTATCAAAATGTCTTCAAACTTGTAAACCAAAGTCCGTTGGTTTGCTTTTTAACTTTTTTAATCTTTTTGAAATTACAATTTTTTTTTTTAAATTGGAGTCACTTCCGTGACTCCAATTAAAAAAGAAAAAAAACTTAGATACACTGGCCTAAATGGTCACCATTATATAAGGTAACAGGCAAAATATAAAACAAGCACCAAGTGCTGTTTATAGATGTGTCTACTCTTAAAAACTTCTAAGACTATTTTCCTCTGCGCTGCAAATGTACTTCTAAAAATAAGCAAAGATGTTTCTGCTAGGCTGACATGTCAGATATTACAAGTATGAGATGTCATCTGCCATGGCTGAGGGTTAAACAAAGGCTTTGTAAGGACTGCTGCACATAAAGGCTAGATAAGCTCTCACTGAGCAAAGAACAAGATAAACGGCACATCTCATTCTATTCTAATACAGAGTATAGATAAGGCTTAAAACATCTCAGACACTCAGCAATTGTTTTGACATAACCCAGAAGGACATAGCCCATTCTTCCCTTATATCTACTGAGACTTAATAACTTAATTCTCTCTGATTTTTCTTTAAATCAGGTTTGCAAACAGCTACAATGCATATATATCATAGTATTCGAACGATGACAGCTGTACTGGGTCAGCACTGTTTAATGCAAATGAAAAGTATTAAATATTTTGGTGTTTACTGGGTTTGGCAGTGACAGAAATGCGTTTTATGGCTTTGTTGACATTACATGTGGTTTTACATGTTACTATGAAGAAGAAATTAGAGTGTTTCAAAAGACTCTATTACAAATGATTTGTTGAACTTTGAATAAAATCCATTTTCTTTTTCCTACTGTCAATAAACAGACTAAAGATTTTTTAGTTTTAGATCAGTTAGGAATAATAAAATTAGTTCCTTGATGTTATTATTCTGAGATCAAACAGGGCTGAAATAGGATATTTTTCAGTCAGCAACTATTGAAAAATGTATTTTGATGCTGAAATTGAAACTCAATAGTCTAAACAACAGTATTTCCTGGTGAAACCAAAAAGAATCAGAGGTTAGCAAGACAAGGTTGGTAAACTCCAGAATGATTCAATGCTTACAATAAAAAAGGACTTACTGGATTTATGTCTGGACAGGAAGCTGAATCACAAATGACGCAACTGAGGAAAACATTTAAAGGAACCAGATGTAGCTATAAGAATTACAACAGCCATATAGGTCTGCTTCTTCTGTACAACACACAGATCACATCAATTAATGCATATATAATCATCTGAATCAATTTGCAAGAAGTTAACAAAAAGGAACCTAAGAAGAAAATAGTACTTTATGGCAAACTGAAAGCAGTCCTCACATTTGTTTGCACTTGAGGCCCCCTGCTGGTGGCATAATGGTAAAGAATGGCTATAGGTCAATTATTTTCTGTTTGGTTTGATCTTTTTTTTTAATGTGGAGGCTTTTGTCAAAAAACACAAACTTTAAAAATAGAAATTTAGACCCAAAAAGCAACCATCCAGTCTCTTTAAGGATATGAATAATATAATATAAATTATAGCTCAGGTTTAGGCTTCAGCTGCATAAAGTGGCTCTCGAGTGATCAAGCAAACATTTTCACCTTATCTATTTTTACACATCATTTTTTTTTAAATCTCCAAATGGACTATATTTAAATGCTTAATGGATTTTTACATGGCAATATGTGTGTCTGATGAGGGAGGGTGCAGCCAGTGCAGGTCAACACCATTTATCAAGGTGTGCATTATTATTGGGCAGCTTGTTTTCTTTAGAGAAAAAAGGACAGAAAAAGACTGGACGTGATCACAGATCCAGCAAATGATTTTAAAACATGTTCATATGTCTGGACTTCATCAGCTGTTTGCTAGCACTGTAGAAATGCCTTTAAAGGCCAATATTACTGATGACTGAGAAAAATATCTCGCCTTAGTGGATGTTTTTTTTAAACAATATAAATAATTTAAATAAGTTTGATTCATGTTATATGATTCGTTATATGGAGCTCGTTTTTTAAATGTTTTAGCAGATACTTTTTAGGTCTAAATATTGTTTTAAACTCAGTCTTACTTTCTAAACAAAATTGCTTATAATCCCAACAACAGGCAGGATGGTTTATGGCTGAAACG